CCCCAAAACCCCAAAACCCCAAAACCCCAAAGCTTAATATTTGTATTCAATGTCAAAGGAATAGATAAATAATATATTATTTATTATCATTTTTGAATTTTAAGAGAAAACTTTAAGATCTAATTTCTCTAGTGGACATTTAAGGTCTATAGCAAAAATAAAAAAGATTAATATTCTTACCTAATAGAGTGCTAAAGCTGAATCTATAAATTCCAATCTATCAAGAGTCTCGCCTATATGTTCTAATTCAATTAGTAGAGGGGAAAGTATTTCTAAAACATCTGCATTAATTTTAGAAATGTCAATCCGCTTTGATGATATTTAGCCGTCATTATCTGAATCAAAGACATCGAATATTTCACCAAGTTTTGTTCTTTATTTTTATTCAACAATTTATGATGACACTTTATTATTTGTCTGACTCTTTTTATGCATATCTTTAATCTATATCATATGCAACTCTTGCTATTTTTACTTCTTTTCCTATTGTTTATGGTATTGCTAATATAAATGATCCCCAATGTTTTATCCATTATCAGCAGGTCTTGAGATAGGGCTTCTTCCAGTTTAAGGTCTGAATAATGGCTTTCCTGTTTATTTATCAATATTCTATTAATGTATATGCTGTATCATAGACAGCTTCTACTTTTTATTCTATGCTTGATCATACATTCTGTCAAATACAGTTTGACTAGTGTCTCTTTTATGCTATTAATTTAAATCTTATCTTTCTGGTGAGCCAATGTTATCTTTACTATCATTACCACCTGAGCTTATTCTTCTCTTCGCAATTAATCTAAAAAAAGTAATTCACAATGTTTTACTTTGGCTTAAATGTGCAATCCTGTTCAATGGAAATAGAGCTTAGTTTATACTGCCTCAGCTTTTTCTTTAATCCATCCTCATATAATTCACTAAATCTGTCTTTCTGATTTATACTGATATCATTCATATTTCCCCCAAATGAAGAAGTTTCAACATTTTCCTCAGCATACATCGATTTTTCCTAATCAATTCTCTTTGATTTATTGTTTATCTTGGGTTTGAAATCAAAGTTTTCTTGTTAATACTAATATTCTTTACGTAATTTCGCATGCTTTTCTTAAATAAATCTACCATAATTTATCAGGAAATCTTCAGGCTTTCCATTTCTAACAAACTATTTACTTTTTTTAGTATGAAGCTATGGCTGAAAAGTCAGCCCTTCATATTCCTTCACCTCTTAAAGTACTTTAGCCTCCTAGGCTTGTCTTGTCAGTTCTTCTTATTTCTTGACACCCTTTAAATAGAGTCTTATCCCAGCATTATAATTACTATCTTAGTTTTGAGACTGATTTCCTTATCTTTAAGTTTTGATATTTCTGTTATTAGAGATTGTACTCTAAGATTTAGTGGGTGTCACACTTCTATTATTACTATTCGACTTATTGATATTTTTGCTGTTGTTCCCATGCTAATGTTAGTATTGTGAGTACAAGTCCATAAATTAATTTGCTCTCCTGGAATTCAGATTACCATGAGATTATGCATTGCTGCTTAGCCCTCATAGGTTGCTTTAAATCTCTTAGATATTTTTATTCACAGGAGCTAAATTGTCTTAGTCATCTGACAAAACATCTCCTTCCTCATCATCCATGTTATTTTCTAAATATTCTTCTTTTAATGGTGATATTTAACTATCTTATTGCTAATCAGTGCTATGATTCCTCTAAGTGGTTGACTAATTACGATTAGTATTTATTTACTGATAGAAGTTATAACTACTACCCTAGTTGTTATTTATTTTACTATGATTTTGACTCAATACTCTATTATAATAGGTCTATTTAACTGAATCCTTTTTAGCCCTGAATTAATTCTAAAGAATTTCGAACATTTCATGATTGAGATTGTGCCTCAAGCAGAAATTGTGAGCGAGATCTGTTGGAGAATCGTCATCATGAATGATTATGTCCTCAACTTAACCGTCACCTAAGTCTAAACTTATTTTTAATATTTCCATTTTATTAAAGTGAACTTTGTCAAGAGTTTATTTTACTAATTCAACTGACAAATTGATTAACTATTTATCAAGGTGGGGTTTTGGGGTTTTGGGGTTTTGGGG